AAGAATAACCTTAGTTACTAAGTCCCATGATTCTTTAAGTAGGCCCTAAACCCTAAACCGCGCCCCCTTAAAACCTGAGACGATGAAACCTTAAGAAGCCCTAATAGCACTAAACCCTAAAACCCTAAGCCCTACATACACCCTAAACCCCTAAGAAGCCCTGAAAGCACTAAACCCTAAGACCCTAAACCCTACATACACCCTAAACCCTTAAGAAGCCCTGAAAGCCCTAAACCCTTAGACCCTAAACCTTACATACACCCTAAACTCCTAAGAAGCCCTAAACCCTAAAACCCTAAACCCTGCATACACCCTAAACCCCTAAGAAGCCCTGAAAGCCCTAAACCCTACCCCCAAAGCCTTATTCTAATTAATGAGGCACGTGCATTAAGGTTTATGGGGTCCTGGGCTTCTTTGGGCTCTTTGGGTTTTGGAGGTGTTAGGGCTGTCAGATAGGGTCGGGTAAGGGTTCAGTGGTGGGGCAAGGGGTGGGGTGGGTGTGGGGTGCAGGGGGTCGGGGTGACTATCTATCTATCTATCTCTCTGTCTGTCTGTCTATCTCTCTGTCTGTCTGTCTGTCTGTCTATCTGTTTCTCTGACTAACTGTCTATGTGTCTGTTTATCCGTCTAGAAACCGAAGTCCTCCTAACCCAGACATGGAGAGGCCTTCCTGTCGGTGCAGCGCAGGGAGGACTGCGGTGTGCACCACAGAACACCGACAACATGATTCGCTGCAGGTGTGTAGCGCGATGTCTCTGTCTCTCTCTGTCGGACTCGCTCGCTGTCTCCGTGTTTGTTCGTGTTCCGGCCCACTGACATCTTTACATGTCGAGCTCCCCTGCCGTGATGCTGCAAAGGATTCAAGCGGCAGCTTAACCAATTCTGGCCGATGTTTGCCGTCTTTGTGACATGTGTGCCGTCATGCTGTGTGGTTTAGGGTTTAAGGCTTCGGGCATAGGGCTTAGGATTTAGGCACTCCCGAAGACTCATAACATGAAGAGAATGATTTATTTTCCTTCCACTGTTTTGGAATGTGGTGGTTTGCAGGACCGAAGCGGAGTCTCTCGATCTAAATAGACATGGGATGCGTGGGTTTAGAGCACACGCAAACCTGGTCAGTAGCTCGAGATCACTTGGTAAGGCAATTTGGGTTCAAGTGCTAGGCCCTGAAACGACATTTATTTCGGGGTGCGATCTCGGAAATCCACATGTAGTGTAGGCGATGATAATATGACATCAGTTGGATGTGCCCACCCGCTGTGCTACGGGTCCAAAACCTTGAACAGCTCGCCTCCCGACCCGCCTGACCCGCTCCATGAAGCTTTGCTCACTGCCTTGCATGCAGTGTTGCTTATCAGAGCGCAGAGGCCTTGATGGGCGTCGCCTTTATTGGGAGACCACCGAAATCTCGCCCCCGAACTCTCGCCTGGGTCGAGGTAGCCATTTTGCCCGAAACGAAGGGGTCAGGAAGATCTGGAAGCCAACTTCTCCCGATCTAGCGGAACTACACAGGCATGATGCATCACACGTCACACTTATCACGACTATGGCAACCATTTCTCTTGCAGGTTGTCCTGTTGCTGTATGCGATGCCAGCGGACGTGCAGAACCCAGTCGCACTCATCGTTTTCCAGTTGCCGGATGATGATCGCGACGGGCGCGCTCAGGCCGCCACAGCAGCTTGCACTTCCGCGACAGACAGCGAAGAGCAGAACGCCTTCCTGCAGACGCCAGGACACGATCATGGTGCAACGATGTCATTGATGACGAGCTTGATCACGACGAACCCGGAAGCCGCGGTTTTGGTCCCTGTCAGCGCCACCGGCGAGATGGACATGCCAACCACCGTACCTGTTGTGGCGACTGCCGGCGCCGACGACGAATGGGCCCTCCAGATGAATCAAAATTCGGTTCCGATTGCGGTTGAGACGGGGTGCTCGGTGTTCTTTTGCAGCAATGGCTTACCACCCTGATGACAATCATCACCCTGTTTTGGTAGAGACGTTTCGAGTAGAAGCCGCGCCTGACCAGAACCAGGGCATCCAGCGACTGTCCAGTGAATCGCCTGGGCGTCGTGAGCTGTTAGGCTCCACGGAAAAGGGTTCAAAAAACATTTCAATAGGCTTGACGTCCTCTCTGGGACCCGTGGCCGTTCTAACGAGGTGTTTCCATCGAATAACCTTGAAAGGTTGCTGGAAATGCATAAACGACTCAGTTAATTAAGGAGTCAGCCTCAGCCATTGCAGACCGTGAAGATTCACACACTGGTTCCCCTATCTCAAGAGATTCCACGAACTCTATAAACCCAAACCGGCAAGCAACCCCGTTTATCTGCATCCAAAAGTCGTAGACCTGAAGTCCACCTAAACCGTGAGCCCGTAAGCCCGTAAACCTCTAAATCCTAAACCACGAAACCCTAAACTTCGAAACACACTCCGAAACCTACACTCCAAGCTCACGATTCGTTCAATTTCCACACACTAAAAAACACTGCCTCTAAATTCTTCCTCTGTCTAAACGACCGTCATAACTCCAGGTGAATGCATCCTTCGAAGCGCCCGAGAAGCCTAGGAACCCAAAACCCCGTGCGGCCCCTTGCCTATACCCTAGCCCTAACCCCTTACCCTAGACCCTCAATCTCTAAGCCCTAAACCTCTCTATGTCCTAAACCCTAACTCATAAGCCTGGAACCATGAACCCCAAAGGCTAAAGCTCTAACTCTTAAACTAAGCCGAGAAGGTAGCAACGTTGGGTGTCGTTGGTCGATGCTGTTCTTGACTGCCGGACTCGTGCGAGGATATTTGCAAAGCTGCTGTTGCTGGCTTCCTGCGTGACAGGGGCGGGAACATGCACATCACGATGCTCAGCGAAATCCATTAGTTTTGAGCTTGGTCACCACGGTGTTGCCAAGAAAACCAGCTGACGGGGCTTTAAACAGAAGCCGGAATAAATTCCAAAAATATTTCCTGGGGATCTTTCTGATGTTTGCCACTCCAAAACCCAATTCTAAGTAACTTCTATAACTGGCGCATCAGGGGACGTAGTAAGTGAGGTTACAAGGACATTAGGTCAGACGCGATTACAAGTAGAAGTTGCCTCATATATAACCCTAGTTACTGCGTCGTAACTACGTCCCACAATCCTTCAAGCCCTAAGCCCCATAATCATTGATGCCGCAACCCTTCAAAACACCCTTTAAGTTATCAAGTCGCATGATCCTCAAACCACTAGACCCTTATAGGATCCCTTGTAGCCACCTCTTAACAACCTTGAAAGGAACCCTTCTGGTAACCTTAAGCCCGGGCCCTAATGCGTCGGGGAAGCCGAGGAAGGACTGGGCACTCGACGGATCCCTTTCTCTCCAGAAGGCTGGGTTTGTTTACATTCCAAACCCCCGCAAGTAAGCTTAAGTCACTAGCAGAATTAAGGCCTTTACCTTACACCTTCGGCTTCCGACTATTGTTCGGAGGGTTATTCCTCAGCTTAAGGATTTTTGCAGTCTCTTGGGATGTTTTCTAAACCCTAAAGCCTACACCCTAAACCCTGAAGAGTTCTGAAGTCTCTGCGCAGGTTGTCCTGCTGAACCTTGTGCGGCTGCGGGAGCTGCAGATCGAGTACTGCCCGCTGCTTCGTGGCTTGGCAGGAATCCCAGGGTCTGTTGAGGGTTTAGGGGTTTAGAGTTTAGGGTTTCTGACTTGTCAGAAATAGTATGTCGCAGTACAATATTCTGGTTTATCTTTGTATATGATCCTATATCCTAGTATAAATTGGGAGCTGTTTGTATATCATATCTATATCATAATACATAACACGGTACATATGTGTATATTTTCATTTTTTAGAGTGTATTGTTGTAGATTAGAATACATGAAGGCTCCTTTTTGTCTGTGTGCCCATGCAAGCCCTGTTTGCAAGGCACGCATTCTGCTAATCCAGGGGCTCGAACAAGTACAATAGGGCTTTTTGGCATGTATTGTTATAGTTGAAGTACATCAGGAATCCAAAGGAATGATATTGATAATTATTCTGACCCCTGCATAAGACATGCCCGCCAAGGCAAGTCAGAAGACCTGGCGTTGTCTTATGAGGTCATTCTGGCCACAGGCCGCTGTTGGGAAGTTCTTTTATTATGGCGGTTTTGGGTGTACCTAGACCAGCTTCCTTGTTATGGTAGACTTACATAAGACCTTAAACTGCCAGGTTATTTGGGGTAAGGGTTTAGGTTTCAGGGCCCAGCGGAGTCTGCACAGGTCACCTGCTCAAGTGCCAGTGCTATGCGTACCGGGCCATTCACTTGGAGCGGGGTGGCGTGGCAGAGAGACTGGCCTTCACGCTTCACCTTCACTCCCTACCTTAGCCCCTGGATTCCTCTTTCATGATGTCCTCATATCAGCCCTTAAAAACGATAGGTCAGCTAGGTTCTTTGCGGATCCAGGGAGACACTAACGCTTCTGATCACACCCTTTACCCTGGCCCTAAACCTACTTAAAGGATCATGGGACTTAGTAGCTAAGGTTATTATTAGGATAACTACACTTATATCTACTTATAACCCAAATTAAGGTAAAAGGTACGTAGAGCCATACTTACTAAGTCCCATGATCCTCCAAGTAAACCCGAAAGAGGTGGTGCGGAGGAGGTGCGCAGGGAGTGCCGCGGCGGCAGCTCCAGCGAGCCAAGTCGTCTGCTGCTGGGAGGGCGCTCGGCGCTCCCAGCGCTGCCGACGCCAAGGCTGGGTTTCAGAATTTTAGCATAGGAGAGGTTTAGGGTTTAGGGTTTAGGGTTAAGTAGAGGAGCCTTGATGCTTAGAAAAGAGAGTTTGGGGGCCCATTTTACTATAATTCGAATCAGGAACCCTGTGTTGTAGTCGGGGGCTCTAAGTTGAGAAAGGTGGACCACGAAAAGGATCACCTGCCCCAATCTTTCACGACGCAGAGTAGTAGAGGTAATTCTTTAGGCCCCGACATTAAGCTTCCCAAGCTTGCTGGTACCTTTAAAAAGGTTTCTGGTCAGGCTTCGGGATGGGTTAAGGGGCTGATTTGACGTGGTACCTTAAGTCCCTAAACCTTAGGGGTTTAGGGTTTAGGGTTTAGGGGTTTAGGGTTTAGGGGTTTAGGGTTTAGGGTTTAGTGAAACCTTAAACCCTAAACCCTAAGTTCCTAACAAGAAGAACGAAGGCAGAGGGCCACTGTGGAGGCCCTGCTTACCTGGATGGCACGCTCTAGGAGTGGGTTGGTAGATCACCACGGGGACTTCAACGATGGTGCGGAGGAGGCGTCAGAAGCTCTCTTGGACACGACCCTGGGTTCTTGTTATCAGGGTTTAGGGTTTAGGGGTTTAGGGTTTAGGGTTTCACTTAAGTTACAAAACTAAGGACCTGTCGTAACTAGCATGGCTTGCTTGCTATGGTAACTTAAAAAAAGAGCATGCGCTTGATGGTAACTAAGTTGTGAGTTAAGTTCCTTATGGAGAGCCGAGGAATGGCACAATGCAGAAGCCATGTCAGGAGACGCAAGGCGAGTCGGGGCCCGAAGCCCAGAAGGCGTGCGGCGTGCAGCCTTCCGATGCCGGCGCCCTAAAGTCTGGGCCCGTGGGCTGGCTCCGTGACTAGGTATCGATTGGGGATGACTTTTTAATTTTCCGAAATCCCTAAACCCTAAGCCCTAAACTATAAACACTTTGTTGGGGGGCTGTTGAAATCGACGCCTAGGGAAGCTGCCGAAAGGAGAGGAGAATCCCCCTCCCACGAAGCGCCGCAGAACCTGAGCCGAATCTTCGCCGAATCCAAGCAGAAAACGGCGGAGCTCCACGAACTGCGCGCTCAGAGTGTCGCAGGCTCTCGGAGTGATCCGAAACCCTGGCGTAGCAGCGGCAGTGAGACTAGGTTCCTTTAGGGTTTAGGGTAGTGCCTTTGCTACTTTTAAGGTAGCCTAAAGCCTCACAGGAACCCTTAAGGGGCTACTGGGGAACCTAGGAGAGCGCAGCAGCCGACCCCGACCTCCGAAGCTGACCTGGAACAGTGTGGGGTGCCTGGATCCAGACGGAAGAGCCCGAGGATCTGTCGCCGTCGGACGAGATCGTTTAGGACCTGAGTTCTCTAAATTAGGGTCCCCTTTTAGGTCCCCAAGATAGTATGGCCTGAAAGGGACCCTAATTTAGAGAACTACCTACCTCGGGCGCCTGGCTGCGGAATGCTGGATCAATCTGGATCCCTCTTCTGAGTGCTTTTAACTTTTAAGGTCCAGGATTTGACGGTAGAGCAGGGACATATCAGAATCAGAGTGTATTCTCCTGGGCTCACGGCTGAAAAGGCAGCGCACGCCCACTGCTTGGCTTAAAGTTATCCTCAACTCATTTTCAACTTCCAGGGGCAGGGTGAGTGATATGGGTAGTTCTGTAAATTAGGGTCCCTGTTACCTATTAGGGACGTTTTGTATCATAATGGTGCCGTACTGTTTGGAGGACCTAAACGGGTCCCGAATTTAGAGAACTACCCAGGCACATAGAAGCCTAGCTCCTTTCCTAGACTTTGAAAGTCAGGTATGGGCGAAGCATCTCTCTAAGGTTAGAAGTATGGGCCCCTAATTTGGACCCTTAGGCCTTTCTAGGGACGTTTTAAGGGTAAATTAAGGGTATCTAGTAGGTGTATAAGGATCCCAGGGTTACGGGCCCATACTAGAGGCCCATGGGTTCAACCTTAGAATCTCAGGAACTCTCAATTTTCCAACCTCTTAAAGCCTAAGCCTGAACGCTGAAGAGAACCCTCATCGCCTTAACGGGGATCCTATTCACGCCAACACCGTCGCAGCTTTTCCAGATAAAGGTAGGAGCCTAAATAATTACCAATATTATTCTTTAGGGTTCCTTATTATGATTATAGTATAAGATACTCCAGAAACCTATTCTAATCAGTAAGGCCCCTAGATTACGATCCTGAAAATCACTCCTCAACGTCAAGATCTTGATGCGTATGTCGGTGCGCCGGCTGCAGTCGTCGCAAGAGGAGTCCAGCGAATAGGAGAAGCCATTGCTCGTGGACCCTCGCATTCGGGTGCAAGGTTGTCATCGCAGACGTGCAGGACGGACAGAAACTCGCCGACGAGATCAACGGCAGGGTTGTAAATTCTGATATATCTGATCCCAAGCATGTAGAAGCTGCCCCTGCGGATATCGTGTCGAATCCCAGCAAGTGCGGCTCGGAGTTTATGATATTGGGGACTGGAAGCATGTCGTCGATATCAACCTGATCGCGTCTTGTATGGTCTCAAGTACAGACTGGCCCCGTAAATTCGTAGGGGCAATGTTGATGTTTAGAGCGCCGGATTCATGCTTGCTCTCTGTAAGCATATCTGTTTGGGGGTAGCCGCGCCGCTTCAAGCAAACGATGTAGCTTTAAACCCTTAAGCCCTAAACCCTAACCCTGAACGGCTCTAAACCGTGAAACTCTAAACCTTTTAGGGTTTAGGGTTTTAGGGTTTAGGGTTTTAGGGTTTAGGGTTTAGCGTTTAGGGTTCAGGGTTTAGGGTTTCTGCCTCAACCCCCAAACCCTAAGCACGAGACATTGGGCTCCTTTCATATGCCAGATCAAGTTCCGATGCTTTGTCGCGCGCGCACAATACGCTTTCTCAAGTGCTCGCAGGACGCTGTAGATCCCAAGCCCTGGCTGTTAATTGTTTGGAGCTAGTATCAGAATAGTAGCAATAGTCTGTAGTGGTAGTCTGAATGTAAGTGTATATATATATATATACACAAATAATTCTGTATACACATGCATGCATATAACCTATACAAAGTTTGAATAGTATCATGGCGCCAAATCAGAAAAGTTCTTCTGACAACCTGGGTAGTGGCGAGCAGCACGGTCCCAGAGCCATGGCGCGATATGACAGCTCTGTGTACAAGCCCAACTTCCTGGCAACTCGGCTCGACTCAAAACCCCCTAAAGCCCGGAAGCCCAACACGGTTTATCTGTCTGGGTTTAGGGTTTAGGGTTTAGGGTTTAGGGTTTAGGGTTTAGGGTTTAGGGTTTAGGGTTTAGAAGACTTTGGGTTTATAGGGTTTAAGGTCTATAGCGGTTGTGACAATCAGCAAAGCCCTTTGGTTGAGATTCCGGGAGCCCCACCCCAGACCCACTCTGCACAGCTCCCCAAAAGACGGTTCAGGCTTGCAGCAAATGCCCTAACACTGCTCATGGGAGCTCTTACGCCTCTAAAATCGGCACAAACCCCACGACGTCCCCCAAAACCGGCAAAAGCCCGCAACCCAAGCCTTCGAAAGCCCCCAAAGCTAATGCCAACGCATTCACAACAGCACCGAAACAGCAGCAACAAGACCTCGGAGAGTGCGAATGGACAGAAATGCCAAACTCTACATAAATCGAGCTTGAACCCTAAACCCCAAACCCTCAAAACCCACGACACGTTAAACACTCCGAAAGCTCTGACGCCCTTTAATCCAAACCTTAAACTCCTAAACTCCAACATCCTATAATATAGGGCCTGAATAATCACCCATACTAGTTTGAAGTTATTATAGCATATTATATCCCAAAACCTTATTCTAATTACTAAGGCCCCGACAGTGCCTCAGGCTTTTAGGGTTTAGGGTTTAGGCGTTTAGGGTTCAGGGTATAGGGTTTTAGGGTTTTAGGGTTTAGCGTTTTAAAGTTTTAGGGTTTAGGGGTCAGGGCTTATAGGGTTTAGGGCTTGGGTTTTGAGGGCTCTTGTCAACCATCGGCCCCGGCTGAGGCCCCCAGGCAGGGGCCGGGTGCCTTCTCGAGCACCTACAGAAGTCTGCGGCCTAACTTGGGTTTGGCGTTTAGGGTTTAGGGTTTAGGTTTTAGGAATTTAGGGATTTAGGGTCTTAGGGTTTAGGGTTTAGGGTAAGGGCCTTAAAATTTAGTAATTAGAATAGGGTTTTGGGGCTCATTCTACTATAAGTATAATAAGGAGCCCCCAAATTGTATAGGTATTTATTGCTTAAATTAAGGCCCCTACATTAGGGTTTAGGGTCAGGGTTCAGGGTGTAGACTCAAGGGGCTTTGCGATTTCTTGGCCTTGGGAGTCCTGTCTTTTGAGGTGGGGGAGGTGGGAGCATTTCTATCAGCATGTGTACTTGGCCCGGTTACTTGGCCCCACCCTAAACCCCAAACCCAACACCCTAGACCCTGAGCCTGAACCCTAAACCCTTGCACCCTGAACCCTAGAACCCCAAACCCTAAGCGCTAAAACCTAAAACCTATCAGGTTTCGGGTTTTTGGGGTTCAGGGATTAAGGCTCTGGTTTGCCGATGCTCGGCAGGGGTGGAACAGTACCAGGACAAGATTGTCGTGTCTGCATACATGCGCATGTCAACGGCATCTATCTATCCATTATTCCTTTCCCTCCATTCCCTTCCATTCCAGTTATTTCATCCATCCATCCATCCA